TTTTTAGCCTGACTCTGAAGTTTGAAATTAAATGCTGATAGTCACTACTGCAGTCTGCTACTGGTCTTGTTCCAGCAGCAAGAATACAGTTTCTCCACCTTTTAATTCCAATTACATAATCTTTGGTGGCAGAGGTCAAGGGGTAGGTCCCTAATATTTTTTCTTTTCCTTTTTTCCTCTGCATTTCCCCCCGCGCCCCTTCGTTTTCTGCCATGTAACACCTTCCTATTTACAGATAGGATTGTGTTGTTAACCTTCAGGGAAAAATAGAAGAAAGCATGGGTTGTTAGAACAAGAAGCTAGAATCAAAAACATAGCAGAAATAATGTATTGAGAAGACTCCCCAGAACTGTTGCCATGCAACATCTGCACAACCAAGGTCTACTAGTCTCGTACATGGCCTCATACGTGGCCTACACATGCAAGCTGGTAGCCTTGTTGAAAGAAAAGGTGAAAACACTAGAGCAGTGAGTGTCCACTCACAACGTGAAGAAGAGTTTTTAGACAGAGCAGTGGGACTGCATCAACTAGGAGTAGTACAGGAGCTAGAAGTATAATAGCAAGGTGAACAGAAGAGGAGAATCCTAAAGGAAAGGGAAATAACTAGGAAACTCCTTGGAAAAGGGTGACAAGTGCAGAACAACTAGAAGATACTCTGCACCAGTGGACACAGTGGAACTTTGAAACCTCTTTCAGTTACTTGAGGATGAGGCTGGAGGGCAGCCTGCAGTGGAAGTACTAAAAGTCATCCCATGCAACACTGAATGAACGGCTGAAGGTTAAACTAAGTAGTGGCAATGATACCAAGGCTTGCAAGAAGAAGTAGAGAAGAATGTTAGTTGTGGGAGACTTTATATAGTGTGGGATGGAAACGCATGTGTGTCATGAAGACCCATGGACTTGTCAGGTGTGCTGGCTCCCTGGACGGCAGATTAGGGTTAGGGTTTAGTGATATAACTGAAAGCTTGCCAAGTCTCATTCAGTCTACTTATACATATCCCTTTCTTCCTTTACATGGGAAAATGAATGACGCTGCTGAGTGCAGCTTGGAAGAAATCACTTCAGACTCTGAAGCTTTAGGGAGGAAAGCCAAGTGCGTTGAGGTCCCTTCCAGTTCTTGAAATAGGAATAGATAGGGAACGAAAAATACTCCAGGGAAATGCCTGGCTCAAAGGTGGTGCTGATGTGAGAGATCTGGATTCTGGGACCACTTCCTGGAAGATGGACTGCTGGCAAGGGATGGGTTGCATGTTAGAAGGACTAGAAAGAATGTGTTTGGCCACAGCATGAAGAAGTTTATCAGGAGGGTTTTAAACTGAATCTTACAGGGGAGTGAGAAGTACACCTGGGCATAACAATAGACAAAAGCTTACACACCACAAGAGAGTAACTTTTACAATACCCAGTAATAGTCTTCCAAAAAATGTTGAAAGAAAGCCATGGTATAAAGAACATGGTCTTCAATGTCTATATACTAATGCTCAGAGAAAGGGAAGCAAACAGCATGAAATCAAATTCTAAATACAGGAAAGTGAATACGACCTGATAGGTAGAACTGAAATTTGGTGGGACAACTACCATGACTGGAATTAAACAACTGAAGGACATAACCTGTTCAAGAAGAACAGAAGGAACAGAAAGGGAGGTGGAGTCACTCTATATGTTAAAGTTACCTATCTCTGCACAGAAATATAGGAGGATGAGCTTAGGAGCCCCATTGAGAGCATCTGCATTAATATAAATGGAATGCGCTCCCTAGAGAGGTCCGCCCGGTGCCATCATTATATGCTTTTTGGTGCCAGGTCAAGACCTTTTTATTCACACAATATTTTTATGATTAACAGATTTTAATTATTTTTATTTCAGTCATGGGTTAGTTTTATTATTGTTTGGGTTATTTATGATATTTATATTTATCATACACAAATACACAATATGTATTTATTGATTCTGTTGTGAGCTGTCCAGAGATGCAGAATGATTGGACAGGCTAGAAATATCCCAAATGAACAATGAATGAATGAATGGAGCAAGGAATAAAAGGAACACAGTGGCTAGAATCTAGTCCCAGCAGAAGATGAGGATGAAACTTTTGAGAAACAAATTGCCAGTATTTCAAAGAGGCATTATGCAATTGTTGTGGAGGGCTTCAATTTCCCCACTATTTGTTAGAAGAGAAATTCTGCCAAATGCAGTCCCTCCAAGGGACTCCTAGCATGTGTTGCCGAGAACTTCCTCCAACAAAAAGATAGGAACAGCTATCCTTGACTTGATACTGACCAACAGAAAAGTCCTAGCAAACAGCTATGGGAACTCTGGGGGAAAGTGACCATGCGCCATACTTGAATTCTCAATTAAAAAAACAACAACAACGCTAAAACTACATGTGGCCAAACTGGATTTCAAAAAAAGCAAACTTTAACATATTCAGGGTGATGACAAACTAAGTCCCATGGCAAGCCACTTTAAAGGGAAAAGGAGTCCATGATGCATGAGGATTTAAAAAAAAAATCTAAAGGCACTATTAAGAGTAATTCCAACAAAGAAAAAGAGTAGTATACCACGGAGGAAGCCCATGTGGCTTCACAAATAGGTTAGAGATGATCTGAAAACAAAAAGGGCATGTATAGGAATTGGAAGGCAGGCAGGGCTACAAAGAATACAGGAAGGTAGCACAGAGTTGCAGGGATGGCATCTGGAAGGCTAAAGCTAGGAATGAACTGAGGCTAGTGAGGGATGCTAAAAGCAACAAAAAAGCCTTCTTCAGGTATGTTCAAACTAAAAAGAAAACAGGGAAAGGAACAAGGGTTCAACTACTCAGTGTGGACAGCAAAACGATAACAGATAACAAAGAAAAGGCAGAAGTGCTCAATTTCTTCTTTGGCTCAGTCTTCTGTGTGATCAGGTGGATTCACATTTGGCTAAGAATTAGATTCAAAATGGCTCCTTTTCAAGCTGGGGAGAGGTAACAAGTGAGGTACTGCAGGGTTCAGTTCTGGGTCCAGTGTTTTTCAACAATTTATGAATTATTTGGATCAGGAAGAGTATAGAACAAATATCAAATTAGCAGATGATACAAAACTCAGTGGGATAGCTAATAGCCTGGAGGACAGAAAGAAGATTCAAGGTGATCTTTATAGGTTAAGAGCACTGAGCTGAGGTCAAGAGAATGAAATTCAATAGGGACAAACGCTAAGCTCTGCACCTAGGAAAAAGAAACCAAATACTTTGGTACAAGATGGAATATGCTAGGCTCAACAATACTGCAAGTGCGAAGGATCCTGGAATTGCTGTAGAGCACAAACTGAATGTGAGTCAACAATATGATGTGGCTATAAATGCTCTTTTAGGCTGCATTAATAAAAGCATCACTTCCAAACCATGTGAAGTGCTAGATTTCCTTTACTTAGCAGTGGTTAGGCCTCACCTGGAGTACTGTGCCCAGTTCTGGGCATCACAGCTTAAGAAAGATGCAGACAAGCTAGAAAGGGTCCAGATGAGGGCAACAAGGATGATCCAGGGACTAAAAACAAACCGGAAAGAATTGGCCTTGGGAAGACTGAGGGATGATATGATAACACTTCACAAGTACCTGAAAAGCTTCACAAAGAGGAAGGACAACATCTCTTCCCCATCATCCCAGAGTACAGGTCATAGAACAATGGGCTCAAGTGACAGAATTCCAGCTAGGTATCAGGAAAAACTTCCTGACAGAACAGGACAACAATGGAAGCCATTTTATTGAGAAGCTGTGGGCTCTCCGACACTAAAGGCATTCAAGATGCAACTGGACAGCTGAGACGGATGGTTTACTTTGGAGTCCTGCACTGAGAAGAGGGCTGGACCCAGTGGCCTCTGGCCTCTTCCAAATCTACTATTCTATGATCTATTCAATTTCTGTATTGGCCATCTGGTGAAGTCCATGTATACAATTGTTTAAGGGTTGTTTGAAGTGTGTGCTTACAATGAACTGGTTGTTGGCTTCACAGAATTAGGGTTAAGGCTAGGGTTGATTCTCCTACTTAATTTCTTACCCCTCAGCCAAATTTCCCTACCATGTTTGATTCTGGGTTGTTTCCTACTTCTCCATTCCAGTCACACAGGGTTAGCAGCATATATTGTTTTGGGGTGTTATCAATTTCCTCTTGAACACCTGCATAAAAGTTTTCAATTTCTTCCTCACATCTGTCACTGAAGCATAGACTTGAATGATGCTTCTATTAATAGCATTCCCATTAATTCTGATTGATATTATCTGGCTGGATTTTGCATCACAGCTTTGGACTGCCTGTGCTACATCTTGCCTCAGTATTAGAGACACTCCAATTCTTCTGAGCTTGTCATTTCTGGAGTAAAACACTTTGTGTGTGTTTGTCTGATTGGAAAAATCCCACTCCACTTTAGTTTGCTCGCACCATAGTATCACTAGGTAAGAATAAAGCATCACAAGGCACAAAGTAGGTCAAGGGGTTTAGCTATTCAGAGGCTTTCTCCAATCGGCACTTCCCAGAGATCAAATGACCGTGCCCTTTTGACATAATCTGGCCCATGGTTGGGGGATCATTTGGCCTCCTACTCAACTTTAATTGTCCATCCTTGGTTTAAGGAAGAAAAATCTGAAGCTTAAAATGAAAGGAAAAGGAGACAGCTCTGTTCTAGTAAAATACAGTGATGAACTAGAGGAGCCCAAGATCACTGGTACTAAGGAAACAATCTCAGTCATATGATTCTGTGTTTCTTGGGCAGTGGCAAGACATAACCCATTGCTGGATGCCTTCTCACACCAAACTGAAAATCTTTTTCTTACGCAAAACTGCACAATGGACTGCACTGAACTTAATATATTTCAGTTGTCAGAAAGGAGTCTTTGAATTGGAATGGCAGGATGTGCAAAGACAGAATGTGTGTACACACACACACTCACTTTCTCTCTCTCTGAAGGTACACGTCTAACTTGGACAGAATTAACTCCAGAAAAAGCACAGTGATTTGTGAATTACCTGAAAGCAGCCAAGTATTCTGTGTCTCCCATTGGTGGATCAAGACCACCAGTAAATGCCATATTAACATTGAAACCAACACCCGGTCCAATGCCAACCTAAGAAATATGGAATGAAAGAAAATAATTTAACAGGTTACATTTCTGGCAAATGTTGTCATAAACAACATTATCCATACTTCCTTAGCAGCATCTCCAGTGATTTCACAGGTCCCTTACAATTCAGTATGTAATAGCATTGCTGCCTTTCGCATCAAAACAGTGTAAACGAGATGTAAAGCTTTAATTTTTTAGAGCATTAACAGTAACATCCTATAAATATCTACTTGGAAGTAAGGCACACTGCACTCAATAGAACTTACTCCTGGACAGTGTTATAGGATTATAGCCCAAGAGAAGCAATTCCTTTCACACTTAAAGTTTTAAATCAAGTGTAGGCAACTTACAGCTCTCTAGATGTTTAGACATAAGACTGCAATTAGCCCAAGCTAGTATAACCAGTTGTGGGCCATAAGTTGCCTACTCGTGTTTTAAATGGGCCACTAGAAAAGCACCAACACTCCCAAATGTTGAAGGTTTTCCTTGCATTAAGAAGCACAGAACAACATCTAACTGCCTTGGAGTTACAGTCCGGTTTAGGCAAATATTTTGTCAATCACTGTAAACACTACAATGGATGATAGTGTCTTCTAAAACAAAGAAAAACAAAATCCCAAAGCAAAACACTAAGATGAAGTCCTATCATTACCTTCCTTTCTAACACATGTGTACTTATATTTTCAGTATAAATACTGCTGCTCTTCGTCAGAAATCAGTGGCTGAGATTGTATGTGGTAATATCAATTCATAATCAATTCAAAAGAGCACATTAAAAAGCAGCCCACACAAGAACTCCACTGGAGCCCCACATAAACATATAAACAAAGAATATATGTCCTAATAGCTATAATTAGCTCACTGCATATGGCAGATTTGGGCCTTGGAACTGCTTCTTCACCCTCCCTGTGCCTAAGTCCTGGTGCTGGTTTGCATTTCTTTTACAAATGTCCCTAGTTTCCACTACCCTATTGTCACAGTAGGTTAAAAACTCCAAACCAGTCAGACATGTATGTACTTTCCTGGGGAAGAAAAATTATGCCTGCTATCTAGATAGGAAATAAGGATACCTTAAGCCCCACAAAAGCTATGTGGTAACCTTACAACACTTTTAACCCACTGTTACCATTGCCTAAAGATCAACAACTTGGGCCCCTCAGGTATTTCCATGGCATATGCACTTTGGGTGTAATGAAGGCCACTGCTGCTAGTAACTACAAAATATATTTCAACTCCAGTACTAAGCAGTTTCTACACTGGTCCAGTTCCATACACAGAGGTCTGGATTGGGATGGGGGAAATTTATTCCTTTTTCTATTTAAAAAAAAAAAAAAGCAAGTTTTAAATTCCCAGCCCATGTTCACATGAATATACACAGCAGATAACTGGGAGATCCCTGATACTGCCAACAGCAATTAAAGTGACCACAACAATGAAAAAGAAACCCCTGCAATTCCATGAATCACTGCAGGCTGTGTCAGTCATTTCTCAGCTAACATTAAATGTCTTGATGCAACACCTGACTAGTCTGGGTGTAAATAAAAGGCATTGGCTAGCTTTGTATGACACACTAAGCCACTGACCCTGATTCCTTTGGGGTGATTTGTAAGATACTCTGGGGTGGGTTAAAAATGACCACAATTACCCATGACTGGTTTGTTCCGGGGTTTAGGAAAACTACTATGGTTTAGTGTGTTATCTGAACCTGGATGATATGCTAACCTACGGCCAAGCCAAACAAACATAAGAATCCCTTGGAAGAATGGCAACAACAGGTTGCTGCCCTGGTTTGATCAGACTCTTGACTGATCCGTACCTCCTCTTTCTAAGCCCTACTCAGAGCTTGAAACATGAGAGGCCTGTGGTAGAGCAGAGACTTGCTTAGCTTTGCTTCCTAGAGAGGAGGCAGCTGAGTGTGCCCTTCCCACCAGCCCCAAAACCTGACTCAGGAAGTCCTTGCTAGTTGGATTGCGGGGGACAATTCTGACTCTCAGGGCAGGGCACTGACCAGCAGAATCACTCCTGCCCACACACCACTAGGAAGAATGAAGTTGGGCTGGGCAACAGCAGGAAGGGGGACACAGAGCACCTCACACTGGCCTGGCACAAGGTGTCCCATGGGCCTCTTCTTCCTGCCCAGTTAACTGGTGAAGAGGAAGCATGGGCTGTTTTGCACTGGATTTCCATTAAGCAGTTTATATCACCCTCCCTGATGCTCAGCTGCAGCATGCCAAATCTCTGTTGCAACACACTGCAACTAAAAAGTAGGAAGGGGAGGGCTGCCTTTCCCTGGGTACTCCCCATCTCAATTCTCAGGCATGGCACAGGTTAGCTGAGTGGTGTCATGGCCAAGTAATGGGGCGGGGGCACAGGCCACCTCACACTGACCATTAGGCACCTTCTGCTCCCCATGCCTACAAAAACCAGGAGACTAGGATTGCTAATGAGCAATACTGCTTTACCAGCACTGGCAGAAGTGTTGGGGCAGGGAAACAAATGACAGCTGCCAAGTGTATCCACTTACGGCAGCTGCCATTCTGTTCTGCTCAGTGCTCCGGCATGGTGCACCCTGGGCTGGTCAGGAACTGCCTCCCCACAGTAACTTTAAGTCCACGGTAAGCAGACAGCCACCCTGGGCTTCAAGTATTATCCAAACCCATCCACTCTATGTAAACCAACTCTCATTTTTATGCAGGCATGTACAGTCTGCTCTGCTGAAATCACATATGGTCCGTGTTTGATTTTTCATGTCTTCACAAAAGAACATACAGTCTTACAATTCCCCACTTTAACACACCTCTCCTTGTCATTTACATAAACTGGCAGAAAAAAAAATTCCTACAAAATTCTAATGTTCTTTTCTATCCTTTCTTCGGGACATAATGTGTTTGAAAAACTCTTCCTTTAAAGAACATATTGTATTTTAATTCCTTATTTCCTGGCTTAAATAATACCATGGCTATAATACCTGCCACGATTCCAGACTACTTTAGCATAGAATGCAACTTTGTTATAACCATCACTGCTAGCTCCCATTCAAAGGTGGGATAGTAAGGAAAGCTAGAATATATAACGTTCCAGGATTAGGAAAAGTATAATTTAAGTAGGGGATGCCCTCTTCTGGTGAAAAAAGAGAACAATGATATTAAATGACAGCTTGCATTTTTAAAAATACCAGCCAGTGTTCAAGAAGATTAATGAAACACTAGATTTACCTGCCCACACATTTGAGCTTCAATTACCTTGAGGTGTTGTGGTTTTGAGCAGGGGGGTATTGAAGGATAATTGCAGAGGACTAAAAATCAGAACAGTTGTATTTCAAAATGGCAGAAATCAGATTTTCCTTCCACCCAACACACCAACTGTAGAGAAACACTAAGTGTTCTTTTGCCCACATGGCTGCTATGAGTATGAGATAAATATTACTTCTAATGTTGTAAATATACATTTATCAGTTTTATGATTACCTCATCGGGAGCTCCACTGCCTGGGAAGAAGTTTCCATCATCATAGCGATGTAGTGAAATATAAAGAACATTAGGATCATTGTAGAAAGCCTGCTGAGTACCATTTCCATGGTGTACATCCTTCAGGGATAAAGATTATATTATATGAAAATTCTGATTACATGAGTGGCTGTCTACATTAAATTTTAATTGCATTACTACATCTTTCTCATGTTCATGCTTCAAAAGCCCTTGAAAGGGAAAGGCTTGGCTACAAAGGGAAGGGCACATAATTTCATTTCAATGATACCAAGATATGTATAACTGCTTAAGGCTATGTCTTTAAGAAATATTCACAGGTAAGACAAAATAAATTATTAGACTTTTGCAGCTCACTACGATTAGTTGTAAAAGGAGCACTATCCTAAATGGGGACACCCTTTCAACTCATGGAACAGAAAATATAAAAGTAAAACTTATATTTCTGAATACAAAGAGTTGCCTGATATAATGTCAGTTATCATTATAAGAACTCTTTCTTCCAGTGATGATGCTATTCCCCTTCATGTGTTACTGTGTAAACAGTACATCACTCAATTAAGGGGCAGTGGAGCAATACTGCAGCCTCTCCCCAAACATTAGCATGTTTAGTGGGATGTCTGTAGGAGAAAAGCGATGCACATAAAGATCTTCTCATGAAAGCTTTTTCCTTGTCTATATACATAGAAAGCATATAGGCATGCTAACATGGAATAAAGCCCCATTGCCTCTTGATCACAAGAGTTTTGGTTTGGTTTGGTTTTTTGCCCAAAAACTGCACAATGGGAGCTTGCATCTCTGAGAAAAGGAAATTGGGACTGTTGAGTATTAAGACAGTAAGGAGGAAAGAATTAACTCTAACTCTTTAACTGAAGAGACCAGGCCAACCTCACATGCCCCCAGTTAGAAAAGGATCCTCTTCCAGTGCTTGGTGACAGCTATAGAATGGCCCAAACAGTAAGGCTGGCTGAGAAAGGATACAGCTGAAGAACAGGAAGGAAACAGATGGCCAAGACAATGTTGACGAAGAGGTGACACAGGAAATCACAGAAATCTCCAATCTGCTATTGGGCACTGTGCAAACATGATAACTCCCTCACCCCCACATCATGCCTTACGTGACAACTATCTTCCCACTAATTATACAGAAGTCAGATGATAGTCAAACTTTTTATTGCATAGCAGTAGATGGGAAAGAAAGATATTGCAGTTGTTCGTATTCCAGAGTGAGAAGCTAGGCAAGGCTCCCTCTATAACAAAACATGTTGCCTCACCCTCCTATTTAAGACAGCTTCTTCAGAAGGAAAGGTATCTATCTTACATAGTGCAGGCAAAACAACATTTGGCCCTGTTTTCTCCAAAATTATTGCAGGGAAAGGCGGGGAGGGAAATGGTGGTTTGCTCCAACCATGAACTAAGGATAAGTTCTGCTTTTATTCAAGCCAAGGTTGCACCAAAAGTGCACCCAGACAACAGGGATCAGGGGTGGAACTGGCCTCTGGACTACTTGAAATTGCCTGCCTGTTGTAGAGCCTCAGAAAGGACAGATAGCAAGGGCCACATTACCATCTTGTAAATGGTCTTGAGAGTGCATCAGTATGAAGCGATCGAAGTTGCTGCGGGTGCTGAGGGTATATGTAGAAATACTTGCTGCAACAGCAAAATAAGTAGCTCAGTAAACCAAGGCAATTCAATACCTGGTTTACTTGATAATGGTGGATCTAGAGCATGGGAAGGAACACTTCCCAGTCCACAGGCCACATTCCCTCACAGTAACCTCTAGAATTCATGTCAGTGGTGTATGGGGCCAAACCATGTACTCATACACACATATCCATGCACTCATTTATCCACATAAACTTGCATGCACACCTCCATAACACACCTGAAGATGAATTCCATACCCAGCAATTAGGAAAGTTTTTCAAGCCTAATTTCAAGCGCCGGGGGTTGGGGGGTGGATGGGATCCTTTTTTGAGATTGCAGCATGAAGAGAACAGAGGGTTAAGCCTGCCAATTTGTTCCTTTATTCTGATCTTCCTTAATGGCCAAAGGAGTAACAAACTATGATGACCAGAAGAATTTCATAATGTGTTAATCCACTACTTTCCTATAAAACAAAAAAATGGCCAGCTCATACGCGTCTACTGCACACTAATTCTGTGTTTGCAGTTTTGCTGACATACAGTTCTTACATTCTGAACCTGTACCTGAAGGTGTGGGTAAGGGTGGGAGTGTTCTAACACAAAATCTTTTTCACTCACCCAGTCCACTATGAGGATCTTGTTCACATTCAATCTCTGCTGAAGAAGCTTGGCTGAAATTGCCACAGAATTAAAATAGCAAAAGCCCCTGAAAGACAATGGAATATGATACATGCATACACAGAAAATATAACTCTGAATGCCAACACTGATTTTATTTTCAAAAACACTAACATTTTATCAACTGTCTTTCCTGCTGCTCCAAAATGAAGAAATGGTTTTCAGTCTGGTACATCAGTAACTGTGAGGGTGACAGTGTGAATTACCTGGGCTGGATGTTCTCCTGTTTCAAAATGCAAGGCAAGAGAACTGGTTTCAGGGTGGTGGCAGTGGGAATACACACAAAAACAACAAAGAGTTTGCCTGACCCTTCTCAGTCCTGTTGGCTTCCCTGTGTTGGCCCATCTGCTGTTACTTTGGCACCCTTTCCTTCATATTAGAGTAATCCTGCCCAATCAAGTGAAACTCAGAGAACATAACGATATTAACATACTACATGTGTTGCAGCCAACAGACCGGGAGATACGCTGTTGTCACTATGGGCAAATAATGACTTTCTGCAATGTGACCAAGGCTGCCTGATTAAACAAAGTATTTCAGTTGGAAGATATAGCTACATATTGCCAAAGTAAGAGTGGGGCATCAATTCAGAGAAACCACATGTAACTGTTACAAGAGTTGCAGCCTGTATGTAAAATATCGTCATACAGTGGAAAATGATTAAAATGATCGTGGCAAAATGATGTCAGAAGGAACATTTTTTATATGTATGTGCAGAGAAAAAAGGAGGGAGGGAGGGAGAGAGCGAGCGAGAGAGAGAGAGAGAGAGAGAGAGTAAATATATGTTAAAAAAGGTCGGTTTTAGCAATTTAAGAGATTGAGTTTTTGTATCTGTTACTGCCATTCACCTTTATCATCCATCATATACTCATACTGTTCATCCTGCAATGCTCCTTGCTAAAAAAAATATAACAAATTCTCCATAAACTCCATTAGTTGTTTGATCATAGTGCCTGCAAATCAAACAGGTCTGCACCAATGTGTATTATGTGGTGATACTTTTTCACAATGTATTTTGGGTGCAAAAGCAACATTTTTCAGGTACTTTTATCAGCTTTTGCTGAACAAACTACAGCAATCCAATTCAAGAAGTGTGTAGACATTCTTAAGTAATGACAACATAGATAACAATTAAAGCATATGCATGAAAGAAACAACTGTTTGCCATGTGGTAAAGTATCTTAGAGTGGAATGCCATGCATGGTTAATCAGAAAAAACATTTTCTGCATGCAAATAAATAAAACTAAATTAACTGAGACAGGGTTGTCCTTCCCTTTAAGACCTCTAACAAGTGCAGATCATCTCATACTGATGTAGCTGGAAGAAGAAACTCCTGGTGTTTATGTGATTTTTCCAAAGAGCTATGCTAGGCGCCTTTTGGAAGCTTCTCAGAGTCCTCTTTGCCAGAGAGTCAGAAGCACTTACCCACAATGCACTGGCAAATGGGACTTTGTATAAAAGAGCACTTACCCTTGTTTATGAGCCAGTACTATGGGAAGCCCAAAAATTCAAGCTAAAAAACAAACTCACGTGAGTGGAAGGCCACACTTTGGCAATAAATACACACTGGGGAAAAAAACCTGACACCACAATTGTTCATGAGTAAAGTACCTGTAAGGATATGTACTCCAGTCATAATATTTTGTGAGGAGTTACAGGACACATTTTAGAAAATCTATAAAGAAAACTTTATGTACTGGCTATTTTTGCACTGTGATGCACTCTTTTTCCACTACTGTCTGTAATGCTGCATAGCATACTCTAACCGTAAGTGCTTCACTACTGACATTCCCCCCCCCCCACACACACACACTGATTAGGTATTTATTCTATAAGTTGCTCAAAATGAATGAATGCTAAATATAGAGGATACGAAGAAGTCATCTGTGAAACTCTGAGAGCACCCTTGTCCCTCACTACTGTAGCTGTGGAGGTGAAAGCACAGGGTTGCACTGTAGCCTGGAAGGATGTTCAATGGGAGGCATGGGGGGAGTGTCTTGCCTGTCCCACATGCCGCCTCTTAGCCCCATGCTTAAGTAACACTTGCGGTACAGTATTGAGCACAGCACTGAGCTGACAATTTCTTTCAAAAGGAAATAATCACAATACTGAAATGAAAGACCTTGCACATTACAAACACTTGCAAAATACAGTGTCTTTGTAATCAGATGGCAATAAGAAAGCAATGCCTTTTTTCCAGCTTAGTATCATAGAGCTGGTTTTCTAAATTCAAGGATCTAACAGTTTAAGCACAACACATACTCACATGGGTGTACTTTCTTCTGCATGGTGACCAGGAGGTCGAACTACAGCAAATCCATTCTACCAAAAGAAAATACAAAACAGTGTCTGAAATTGGATATAAAACATCCACATATATTTCAAATATGTTAAATAATTGCAGCATGGCAAGGAACAGCACTTTATTTATGTTCCACCTTTTTTTTCTTTCAAAGAACTCAAAAGTGGCCTGCATTCTTCCTCTTCCCCTGCTCTCAATCTTATCCTCACAATAACCATCCTCTGAGGTGGTTTGGGCTGAGAGTCTGTGACTGGCCCAAAGTCACCCAGTTGGCTCAGTGGCTGAGTGAGGACTAGAACCCAGATCACCCGAGTCCCAGTCCCATGCTCTTAACCACTACACCACACTGGCTCTCTGTTTTTGTAGCAGTTTATCCTTTCAGGGATTTAAAAACTGATATAAATGGTCTAGGTAAAAGCGGCTTCCTATATTACAGATACTGCAGACTTGAAGTCTACTGAAGCCTATAATCAATTTCCTTAACCCATGACTGCAAAGTTTAGTTTGATAAGAGAAGTAGTCTTCTGATGAATCCGTAACTGGTTGCAGAACAGGATAGCTCACTGATAGCAGGAAAGAAAGAGAGGCAGGCAGGCAGGCAGGCAGGCGTGCTGTTTCCCAAGAACCTAGATTTGGACCAGCATTTTAAAAAATTGTTCATGAATGATCTGGAGTTTAACGAGTGCAATGAGGTGGCCATGCTTATTTATTTAATTTATATGTTGCCCATACACTCAAAACGGCTGTTCACTGCCATTTGCTTGCAAATGACAGTAAATTATTCAGAGCAGTGAAAAGTAGAGGGGCCTGTGAAGAATTCCAAAAGGATCTCTCCTAAGGAAGTGATTGGGCAGTAAAGTAGCAAAATTCAATCCAGTCTATGTATAACATGGTAGGCACTGGAGTGAGAAATAAGTCAGGTTGCTTATCTGTAACTGTCGTTTTGAGTGGTCATGTGTACATCCACAAATACGGGCTCTGTGTCTATGTGGGACCTGTTGTCATGCATATTTCCAAGCTAGACTTGTTCTGGCAAGAACCCCTTCCCCCTCACCACCTCATCTATTATTGCTACATTTCTATACCACCCGTAGCCAGAGCTCTCTGGGCTGTTCACAACACAAGTCACACATCCAGATTTCAACCAGGTCTGTCTCTGCTTAGCTTTCAAGATTAGGCAAGATCAGGTACATTGGTTTCACTGAGAGAGGTACCAAAAGGACATGGGATTGTGAAGAATTCATGGACTGAAGCTGGCTGACACTGATGTGGAGCTGGTGGGTGGGTTGTGTGGATGCACAGGGGACCACTCAAAGAATGACAGATACAGGTAACTGCCCTTCTCCCTTCCCAGCTGATTCTTTACATTAGTGCAAGGATCAACTCAACGATTTGAAGGTCTATCTTCCCGCCACAGAGCTGTGGCCCTGCTTGCCCTTTCCTCAAAACTTTGGACAAGGCCCAGGACTACAGTGTGGGAGGTTCCGCGCCTTCTTGGGCTCATGGCAGTGTCCCATTTGCCAGACTTTAGATGCATCTGCTCTAGCTGTGGTGTGTACACACCTACTGTCCTCAGCAAGATTTGGAATGAAGCAGCTTGCTGTCTCCCACTTGGTGCAACTGAATTTGGCCTGGTGGGCATACCAACCCAACCTAGCAGAGGGGGTCCTCCTTGTACCCCCACAGCCAGTTGATATGTTGGCAACAGCTGCCTCCCTCCACAGACGGGGGGTGCACTGAGGGGCCAGTAAGACTCACACCATATGGACTGCTTGGGACAGGAAGGAACACATAAATTACCTCAAGCTCCTCACCATGCAGAAAACCCTGGTTGCGTTCCAGCCCAGCCAGCAGGACTGACAAGTCCAAATAGCCACGGACAACACTTCCCTGGCGTTTTAGCTGAGCAAGCAGGGGGGCACCAGGTCCTTTGTGTTGGTGAACCTCGTCATGCAGATCTGGGCTGGTGCGCAGAGAGGGGCTTTACCCCCATTGCCACACACCTGACAATATGGACAGGCTCCCACAACATGTCCCTGGCCCAGGCAGAGGCAGAGGCAATGGCCGTTGGAGGGAGGGAGCCTGCTGCTGCAGCTGGTGCAGCTCCTCAATGCTGCCAAGGATGCCGTCTCAGTAGATGGGGAAGGAGGGGGAGAACAAAGGCAAGGGCAACTTGGTGAGGGCATGAGGAACAGAGACAGGAAGCAGGCACAAAGTTCTATTTTTATAGTTTTATTTTTATAGAGAAAGAGTGAGCAGGTCCGTGGAGGAGGAAGAAAGGAAGGTTTGGAAGGGAAAAGAATGAGGGAAAAAAAGAATGCTCCACACTTGAGTGAAGAGAGCAGTGCTTTCCAATGTAGACATGATGGCGTTTGAAAAGAAACTAAGGGGAGTCTTTCCCGTGTTCTGCTGGAACAGGGAGGGGAGGGGCTCCTGCACAATCAACACCCACTCCCTTTAAAGGCTTCCAAACAACAGGCTCTGTACAGGTACAAAGCCCATATGTGTGATGCACAAAGATCATAAAAAAGAACAGATTTTCCCTGGTTAAGGCAAGTGAGGCAGACCCAGTCAAGAAGATGGTCTCCGGAAGGAGCAACGAGCAGCCAGTTGTCAAGGTAGGGAAAAACCTGAACCCCTTGTAGCCAGAAGTGGTCTCACTCAAGCACCATGCACTTGGCGAAGACTGAGGGATGCAGTACATAGTACAACTGGGAGCACCAAGATCTGGTATGTCTCTGAGTCCCTTTGGAAACAGAATTGTATGTGAAAATAGGCATCCTTCAAGTCTATCAAGGTGAACCAGTCCCCTTGGCACAACGAGGACAGTATGTTTTGCAAGGAAACCATTTGGAACTACTTTCTTGATGTCCCTGAGATCTAGGATCAGGCAGATGCCACCATCTTTTCATCTTGGTTGGGCAGCTACTGCTGGGGAGTGGAACAACAGTGCTGGCCACTGGATTGATAGGAGTAAGAGGCCCCATAGTCCACTTATGTGCTCACTGTTTCTCCTGTGGTGTTATGAAGCTCATCTTCTTGGTGGTTCTCTGGGCCTTTTGGGTGGCATCTAGTCTTTCATCAGTCCAGATGCTGAAGAGGCTCTTTCAATCAAAAATTTCAATCAATTTGGAAGTAGGTCTCTTGGGACAGACCCACTGCCCAAAGTCGGGAATGGCACTGGATTGCCACTGTGCCAATTAGGGCGTTGTAGCTGCCCGAAGATCCAAGCCAGAGCTCAATATTCCTCTGGGAGGTGCTGCATGAGGAATCCCACCTTCTCCCAGAGAAACATCTGGTAATGGACCATGGTTGCCTCGTAGTTTGAGATAATGGAGGCCTGGGGCTACCAAGGCATAGATCTGGCGCACCATCAACTTTAGCTGACATCCCTCTTTATCAGCTGTTGCCAGAGTATACTTTGGTAATGCCCCTGGGTGAAATCCATAACGACCAACATTGTAGCAAGAAAGGAATCACTTGTTCTTGGGCCCGGACTGGTACTTCCCCTCCAGATACTTGGATGTCTACTGTAGCAGTGCCAGCATCTCCCACGCCTTCATATAATTCAGGAATATAGGGAGGAATAAAATGGACACCACCAATGCACCCTCCATCTAGACAGCACCAAAGTCTGGATTCACATCTTTTGCTGTATGTTGTTGTGCCTCCATCCAAGGAGGATCAGTTAAGTCATCAAATGTTGCCAATTCAAAGTCAACAATGAAGGCTTTGAGGATAGAGAAGGGGGCGTAAGGCTGTGGTGGCAAGGTGATCGGCAGACATGGTGGTGATGGAGGGTGGGAAACCATTGCTGTCATCCTAACTTGCCCTTCCCTTTGATAACTTGGACACCTAATGATGACTTGGATCCCTTGGATGGACCCAATGGTCAAAGAACTCAGTCTCCTCTCAGTCTGGTTGGCAAGATCGTGGAGTCAGCCAGGAAGCCCCTTGGTCCCAGTCTGTGTGGGGAGATCTGGCGCAGTCGGGCAGTTGTCATCAGAGGCACCAGATAATAGCCTTGAGCCCTGCACAGGGAAATGGCACTGGCCAAACAAGGAGACAGCAAGGGCATCCCCTCAGTGCAGAGCTGGAAACAGCACCCTAGCTGGAGAGGCCTTGGAATGAGGGTGGGCTGACATGTATGGCAGGGAATCTCAAATCTCACCCTCCAAGATCAATGTTGCTAAGATTGGCTTCATAGGTCACCAGACCAGGGTGCTGTCAGTTTCAGTCCTGGTACAGGCACACTCAGAGATGGTGGGGAAAGGTATGTTCTAGGCCATCTCCATGTCCACCATGTCTCTTAGCCAGCTTCTGAGATTGAGAGGCTTCATGTGAGTATTCAGGTGTAGGTGGGGTGGATGGTGCTGCTGGAGGAGACCCTGCAGCTTTTGACAGTGGGCACAACGCAACCGTAGTTTGGAAAGTAGATGGAAAGACCCTTGACAAGGTCATGCCCGTATCAGTAGCCCGGAGAGCATAGCTTGAAAGTTTAGCTCACTGTCATCCTGCAGAGTTCTTCCATGCCTGATTACTGAAGGCCAGCCAATGCAAACAGGCCTCTACAAAGTGACCTGAGGCAAAAAAAGGCCTGTTTGTGGGGAGTAATCTGTTCACCCAGCTCACACACTTTCAAAATGGTGCCTCAAGTGAAATTGAGGAAGAAAGCAGAGGGAAAGAAGAAAAGGGAAACAGGGTGACAAAGCATCAGGGCAGTTGGAGAGATTGTCAACAGAGGGAGGTTGTTTTTTTTCCTTCAAAGAAGGTTTTTTTGTGGAGGAAAGAGTAAGTTAGGGTATAAGTGGGGTAAAGCAATAGAAATAGTGAAGTAGGAAAACTAAAACACAATAGAAACAAATCAAAGAAGCAAAATACTGAGATATGAAAATCCTGAAGCACCAACAATGGCAGTTGGACAAGAAGTGAGGAAAGGGGAAGGAACGTAGGTGCGTGGGTCATGCCAACCAGGATAAAAATATCAAAATGTTGATACAGTACAAACCAACTATTTAATTTAATAAAACATTTCTATCCTGTCCTGTCTTTTTCTAAATGTCTCAAGACAGCTTACAGAACGTAATATCAACAACAATGAAAGTACAATCCATAATACAACAGGTAATAGATTATGATAAATACAATCAGTAATAATAGAATATCATTAAATTAAACCAATAATAAGCAAAAATGAATAAATCACATTCATAAGAAAAATAAAAAAATAAAATAAAATAAAATGCGACTGTTAACATCTAAAATCCCTAATTCTTAAAATGATGGTTAAATAAAAAGGCTTTTACCTGGCGCCAAAAATAATATAAGCTCTATGAAAAATTATGGAACAGAAAAATCTACATTGTGAGCCAGCATGAAATCTATGTGCTGTCAAGAACTGGAGTATACAAGTTTTAATAAAATAAAATTACTAGTAATATAATGCCCTTATAGAAATCTCTTTTCCAACCACACAAATAGTGTGTGCAGCTTTAGTTTCCACAGAGATGGAAAAGAGAAATCCAAACACTTAGATCATGGGTCCTCAAACTATGGTCTGCAGGCTGCATCTGGCCTGCCATGCTCATTTATCCGGCCCACCTCAGAGCTTTTGGACTTGCTTGGAGAAAACGATCTCTGAGCAAGTCCGAAAGCTCTGAGCCGGCGCAGACATTCTTTGAAACTGAGCAGAGAGCTAGCACATGTGCCAAATTGTAAAAGCTCAACTGCGCGTGCATTGGCCCCCCCCCCCCCCCCCGCCATTGCACGCATATACAGAGTGGGAATATGGAGCAGGAAACAGAAGAGGAGAGTGGGAGAGACAAAGAAACTAAAAAAGGATTGAAGGTAAGAAAAATATAACTTTTTAAATCTATTTTTAACTATATGAGCCATGTCCCTGGGTTGCAGGCCAAGCCATGGCCGCCTTGCCGAGCCCAGCAGGGGCAGTGGTGAGGAGCCAGGAAGGCCTCGACCAAGGTGAGCACGCCTTCATGGCTCCCGCTTGGGTCATGCTCTCCCTTTCAGCAGGTGGCACGGCATCATCTTGGGCTTCTGCTGTAGCCCGAGCAAGAGGAGCAAACATTTTAAATTAATTTTTAAATGTTAATTAATTTTTAAATTTATTTTAATTTAATTAAAATTTAATGTGCAGTGTGCATAGAAAGTTGTTCATTTTTTTTTCAAACTATAGTCCAGCCCCCCAACAGTCTGAAGAACAGCGAACTGGCCCCCTGTTGAAAATGTTTGAGGACCCCTGACTTAGATGAACACTTTCCCTATAAGCAATGATACATTTTGGGTATGATTCAGTTAGATCTTCTGCTAAATGCACTTTTGCAATTAATGTTCAGGCCTTTAAAAACTAGAAGAGTGTCTGATGAAGGTGTTGATAATTCATGAAACCAGATGAGTCAAAAGAGGGATTGCAGCCCTTTCACCAGTTCCAAGGAAAATCCCTGCTCTGGTGCTAGACTTTGAAGCATCCAAGTGAATTTGCCCATTAACACAGACCCTTATCATGCTGCTCTGATCACTGCCACCTGATGCAAATTGCATTTACCTTTGGGCACAGTTTAGGAAAAAGGGGAACATGATAGATACTTATAAAATTATGTGCAATTGGAGAAAGGATTATTCTCCTCTAACATCCAAGGGACTAGCAGCAGATTCGGGAGAGACAAAAGGAAGTGTTTCACCCAATGCGTAATTAAAGTACAGTATTTGCTGCCACAAGAAGTGGTAATGGCTATTACTTTAGATGGCTTTAAAAAGCAATTAGACAACTTTATGGAGGATGACTTATCAAATGCTACTAATCATACTAGTGAACCATAAAATTAAAAAGCTTCTGTAAAATCCCAATTGTTGGGAAGCAACACTATCACCTCCGTATCCTTTTTGTGGACTTTCCACAAAGTGGGAAAGAGGATACTGTGCTTGCTTAGACCTTTGAGCTGATCCAGCAGGGCTCTTCTGATATTCATATGGAAGCTCAAATGGGAAAAAGGTCTCTCCTAGAACTCTACATGAGAAGATTTAAAGAGAGAAGCAGCACTCAGAAGCATTCTGGCATCTAGTGCGACTTACTAAGTTTTCATTGTATAGTTCTGGTTGCCTGTCTCGCTTAGCAGCATAAGCAACATTTTTGGAATGCTTGTTGCAAATTGAGCACATTACAATATCAAACCCTGAGGCTACAGAAGCATGAATAAAGTTTTAATGTACTGGTTACAAGAGAATGGGAAGAAACAATTTGGTAATGAGTCATATCACGAAGATTTTCAATCTTCTAGTTGTCTTATAAAAATCAATTAAAATAAAGCCCTTAGAAGTGCTTTCAAGTGGTGCACCAACTGTAATTAGCAGCACACAGAGAAGAATTCCTACTCCAAAGATTTTAAAATAGGGAAAAAAGTTAAAAAAATAAAAAGAAGTGTTCTCTGGAATTCTGCATGAACAGACCACAAGAAATTCACTCATTCTCACAGGCACAAAACAGACCAAACCAATATCACACTAACCTTTAGTTCTCCTGTAGCTACTTTAAAAACAAGCTCTATGACACAGCCAACAGCAAGGCGAGCTGCACTGAATGAATGCACTTCATTCCAAATTGTGTCACTGTCAACCTAAATGAGAGAGATCCACAGATACAGTAAATCTACTCTGACACAATACTATCAATGTAAAGCAATATGCAATGAATTCTAGAATAACAATTATGTGACATTTGTAAATTGTCAAATAAAAATTCTAGTGTGAATTGCTACAGCACAAATCTTGTAATTCTACCAAACATGTGGAAACAAATTAGGAGGTAAGGGCCTACAATAAAGTACTAAGATCAGTCACAGGAGCAGCAGTTTCATTTTACTTCTGCATAAGTTTTAGCAGTGATACTTCAAAAATGCTCTAAGGGTTTATTTAAAGGTGAAGATCACTGTGGGATGTATGAGGGCCACTTGTGCCACCTGGACATGCCTCCATGCGCACAGGCTGCAGCCTGTGAGCCAACGCCACCTATTTTTCTCCTCCTGCCTTTAGCTGCCACCCCCTATCCTTGAGATGGGTGTGACCTGCTCAACTTCTCTAAGCTCTCCTCCTCCCCCTCTTCTTCCCAACCGTGCCTCAGTCTTCATACCATACTTTGGGCAGGGGGAGTCCTTCCTTAAAGTGAGGCATTCTGTGGGAGCTGGTGCTGGAGATTATCTTTTCATAGCTACCTCACAGGGAAAGCTGACCTTTAAGGAAGAACTCCTCAAAGTGCAACAATCTGGCTTGGCTGGCTCTCTGACAAGCCTCAGGTAACACAGCTTTCCGGACAGCCCATCTGATTTCTTGCTTCATTTGTTGTTGTTTCAGGGTGCTTTTTCAATTAAAGTGTCAAACACCTACCTTATGAGATTTTGGTTGTTTTTACCAATTGGAATATACAGTAATGGTATAATATATTTTGTGCTTAGCTGTGTTATACTGCTATGAGGATACCCCCTATTCATTACATTTGCCTTTTTTATGGTGCTTGGCTTGCAACATAAATGTCTTTTCAGAAATGAACTAATTACATAAGATGTTACTGCTCTGTTATATGGGATGGAGGTGGTATTAAAATCTATTTTTAAGAATCTCAAATGAGGCAAGTAAAACAGAGCTGGTGGGAAATAATGGAAAAGCTAATGTAGCAGATCTACATTGTTAAAACTGAACTGTATGCTCATAATTATACTAAACTGCACTTGCTAAGAACTAAACTATTTTATGAAGTAAGATTTTGATATCAAACACCGCTTCTAAGCATACTGCAGCATGTAGAACAGAATCATCATCTATATCCATAGCATAACCTGTCAGGAAAAAGATCTTTTGCCATGTACACATCCTGTTGGAGATGCAAAGTTTCCAGAATGGAGTAAACTCACAAATGACAATATCTTACAATTACATGATTGATTGATTTAGTGAACAAAGGCATAATTACTACATATAGGGATCTCCCCAATGTTATTTTATTTTATTCTTCTAGCACTTCTTGATATTATATTATTCAGACAGTTTAAACATATAGATAAAATTCTGCAGTTTTGCTTAAGATAGATACTATATTACTCATGTGAGAATTAGCAATGTTCATGCTCATCCAAGTTCTGTTTTCCAGCTTGATGTGCATCACACCTTGTTTTCACTCCCAAATGCAAAGAGGAAAAGTGTTCATTTTTTTTTACTACAAAACTGGCTTACTTTTCCAAACATGTACCCCAAATGCATACTCCACTCAAAAGCTGAAGTGTGAAAATGTGAGGGGAAGGAATGTTGATTTTCAGAAGCACATACTCACGCAAGTATGTATTTTCAAATATACATGGAAGCTCAGGAAACAACAAAGATTACTCAAGAAATACATTCTTGCCTGTCTCTGGGCTTGATTTTAGGTTGCAAATCAAACTGATAAACAGGAACAAAAATCACTGTATGTTTGCACACTACATATATGAGAAAAAAAATACTTACTCCAACACCACCACAAGGGAGCCTGACAAACATTGACGTCAGAGAGCCTAAGGGAGTTAAGAGAAGAACAGAACACTGTTGAAAATATGCCATTCATAGGTGTAAAAAAACATTGAGCACTTTAAAAATCTGCAACTGAAAATCTTTCCTAAGCATATTGTGAACTGTGTCTTTAAGCCAGCTGCAACAGAAACTACCCATGCAAACAATTATATTAAATGCTGCATTAATTACTCCATTTCCCTTTGCCTCTCTCTTGCATTTTCAGTCTTGGTTCTCACACTAACTGCCAACACCTTCAGTGCCCAATTACACTCCATCATCCTAATGACTTCTAAAGACATGGATTGGATAGAGTAGGAAAACAGAATGTGCATGCGCAGCATGATTTCCAGTACCGGTTCATGTGACCAGGGCGGTAGTGAGCGAGCAGCAACCTTTGCCTGATGTATATAAATTTTACTGTGTTGAATAACAGTGTTACTGCTTAGTCTTAATTCTCATATTAATCATGATGCAAATAAAGATTGACTTGAGTTTCCCAGGGTATTTTTTATCTGTTCTGTGACCCATTCATAGGACTATAAAGACATAACTTTCACATTCTCATCAAGTGTTACTTGGAAAAAATATCACCTGAATGATATTCTACCTCAGCTTACTTAAATGCTACCCAACCAATACAATTGCCAATATTCAGTATGGCTGAATTACATGTGGCTGCATAACATGTGATATTTAGATTATTGGGAAGATAGACAGATCAGATTGAATGCACTCAGAATTGCCCCTGGTTCCCAGAGAGATGTAACATTAGTGAGGATACTCAATATAGGGCCCCAACCATGCAGATGCTGTTTTCATTTACAACAAAATACTAACCTCTGAACTGGTTCTCTAATCTGCCTCTGAAAAGCTTATTATCAACCAAGGCATACAGGCAAATAAATGAAGGGGGAAAAAATCCTTTTCCGAAAGGAAAAAGGACTCTAAACCCATGACCTACTGACACACAGTTGATGCCCTCCCAGATAATAATCTCTATTAGCATGTGGACTGACAGCTTCATTCTTAAACTTATGACTTGCCATCATGTTAAAATGCATGGCATTTAAAAGAAAACTGCTGAACAATGATCCGTTACAACGCCATTATCCACCACTCTTTTTATCTTGCTCAGTTCTAACAGCAATTTTATATTTCTCTGTGATTATGTGGGAAAATATTTTAATGTTTTCCCAAAACTGATCCAATAATGATTGCATCACTTCCTACTACCATTTGTTATGGAAATACCACCCTATTCTTAAGAGATGCATTACATCTCTTAATAAAATCACAGAGTGGCTTTTTGACTTTACACAGCATTAATTCAAATGCCTCCTGACCTTAAGTATAAACAGGTTAAACCCACTAGCTGAATGTGTCACTTCCTAAAAATGAAAACTAATGAAGCCACTATGGCATCACCAACTGTCCCGAAGTTGTCTGGCATTACATTTCATTCTTGAAAAAAATATTTGATCAGTGCTGAAATAACAAGTAGTGGGACCTGATTCAGAGGACACCTACACAGGATTAAACTGTAGAAAGACTTTCAATACTGTATCCAACATCCTATCAGTCACAGAACATGCATTTTCAATTATTACTAAACCAGATATCCAGGACAGCAGAACTGACATTTTGCATAACTGTGACCAATCTCCCTGATTATTGTGGGTCTAACATGAGAATACTAATAAAAGCATAATCTCTATTTAGGCACTGATATTTATTTATTTGTTACTGCTGGGGATAAATTATTTCAGTCTGTATATCTATATACATATTTTACCATTTCATTTTGTTGCTAAAATTCCACACAAGCAGGCATTCTGTATTAATAATTACATTATTATCCTTTTTATTTCTTAAGACTTCACTCACAGATCAAGGGCACAAGACAGGGTGAGATAGGATTGTGCTGAAAGTTTTTCATTTTCTAAAAAATGTGTCAAGCACTATTTAAAAACTGACTTTGATTTTCAAAGACTGCTAACTTTCCAGCTACTAATACAGTTTTAATATAATAACAGATATGTCCAAATGTCCCTTAAAAATGAAAGATGTTAGATAGACACAAGAAACCCTCACATATGAAATTCACATCAGTGGAAAGAGAAACTTTACATATTAATACATCCACAGATCACTAAGGTCAAGCTGCACAGCCTGATGTTCAACGACACAGAGAACACTAAATTCTCTTTTGTACCTAACAGTTTCTTGCTGTCCAATTTCTGTCTGTTCAGAGGGTTGGTACCATAAAGCAGTGTGTGGGCTTCTGAATGAACAGTCTGTAGCTCTTCCAGAGTTGCTTTTCTTCCACGAATACACTACAGAAGAAAGGAATAAAACTGCATTAATGCTAATTAATTAATTAAACCAGCAGCAAAAAGCGGAAAATAACTCAAGTTGTACACAGCTTTCTATTCCAAAGAACTGATGTCAGATCTGTGTGTATTTAATACACATTAATATTTTCATATTGAAATTTTGGATAATTTTTTGTCAAGTTACAGAATCTGAGGATCATTGGTGAACATAGATTTTTCTGTTATGGATAATTAACTTAGTAATTATAAAAAACTATAAAAATTATCTTAGTTCACAATGGCATCAGTAAGAAAGATCGTGCTCTAACAATTTAGCAAAGTTGCAATAATTAAAGACACCTGAAATAAACAGTTTATTGCTATTGTGACATTGTGTTGACAATGCATCCATCAGTAGAACTGAGAGAGAGGAACCAACCTGCTCTGGGACCTCTTTGGAACAGATTGTGTGGCAGTGGAAAGAAAAAGAAAGTCTCACCATGTCAGTAGACATCTACTTCTGCAACTATGGATTTAACCCAGAATTGTTTGTTTGGCTCAATGCTAATCTATTACTGCTGTTTACCAAGGTATAGCAAAACCTAAAACAGAAATTATGTATCCTGTCACACAAATCACACATGGTTCCAGAGGGTAAATTTTGGTGGAGTGGGGATGGGGGCTGCAGCAAGTAAGCAGAAAAGCTTTGGTGTACACTGGGAGTGCAGTATGTAAGAATTTGGATCCCACCTTCTGGGAAAGAACCTGAGGGTTCTTTTTGGTATATGTGTGCTTTATAGAACTGTGACTTTTTGGTATATGTGTGTTTTATAGATTTGTTATGTTTTTAACATTTGCATTTTATATTAAACCACTTTAATTGTGTACATTCAAGTCGCTTATTTCAGGATTTTGTTAACTATGTTTTGTTAAGGGACATGAATAGTTAATTTTTGCAATAAAAGCCAGGCTATCGGTGAAATTTTAATAATGCTTACATGGCAAGCTTTTCCTGGAGTTGCTGCCCCACATTTGGAAGGCATGAAATCTGAGATAACGGAGGGATAAATTAATGGATTTTGCCTCTTATATTAGAAATACAGAAACTGATCAAGTCATAAGGGACCTCCCAGGGCATCTAGTCCGACCTCCGCCTTCAGCTGACTCCACTCATGACATGCCTACCATGTGAATGTCTAGCTTTTCCTTGAACACCCTCGCCAATGGGGCTTCAACCACCTCCTGTGGAAGCCCATTCCATACCCCTGAGGTCCAAACTGCCAGGAAATACTTCCTGGCATCCAAATTGAACCTTGGTTCTCTGAGCTTGGCTCTGTTGAAGTACATCCTACCTGCCTCTGCAGGGGAAAACAGGTCTCTACCCACCTCCGTGTGACACCCCCTCACATACCTATATGTCACCAAAAGACCCCCCCAGAGTCTCCTCTTCTCCAGGCTGAAAAGACCCAGTTTCCTCAATCTTGCCTCATACGGCTTTCCCTGCAATCTGGTCACCATTCTTGTGGCCCTTCGCTGCACTGACTCTAACCTGGCTGTATCCTTCCTGTAACAAGGGGCCCAGAACTGAACACAATACTCCAGTTGAGGGCGCACCAGAGTCATATAGAGAGCTTGTAATACCTCTCTCGATCTAGAAGCCATGCTTCTGGCTATCACTGCTGACTCACGTTTAGCCTGCAGTCATCAGTACCCTGAGATCCCTTTCACAAGTGCTGCTCTCCAGCCACTTGTCCCCTAACCTGTACCTATGACATCTATTCCTATGCCCCAAGTGCAAAACCTTGCACTTATCCACATTGAATGCCATCCTGTTGTTCCCTGCCCACTTCCACAGTCTGTCCAGATCCTTCTGGATCTGGAGTACCTGGTCGTCACTTGTGGCCACTGGCCCCATTTTAGTATTGTCTGCTAATTTGATCAGCAGACTGGTCACCCCTCTTCCAGATCACTGATGAAAAGATTGAAAAGCACCAGTCCCAGGATAGAGCCCTGGGGGATCCTGCTTGTCACTGGCTGCCACACTGATGATTGCTTGCTAATGGTTACCCTCCACTTTTGGTCAGTCAACCATGCCCTAATCCATCAGATAGTGCATCGGTCTATCCCAAAACTTCTCAACCAGGATATCATGGGGCACTTTGTCAAAGGCCTTGCTGAAATCCAGGTAAACCACTTCCACTGCATCCCTTCCATCTAGCCACCTCAAAACCTTGTCATAGAATTTCACAAGGTTCATATGGCAGGACCTGTTTTTGCAGAAGCCATGTTGTGTGGTTACCAACCTCCCTTACCTGTCTAGAGTTACTAGATCTCTTGCTATTACGAGTAGGAGCCTTTCCATTGTCCTTCCTACAATGCATGTAATTTTAGGAAAGTGGAATTCCCCATGTCCCCTCTCCTACCCTTTTTGAATACTGGGACCACTGACTCCACCCTCCAAGTCCTCTGGAAGCTCACCCGTTCTCCATGAGGCCTCAAAATGGAGGCCAGCAGGTATGAGAGAACCCCCACCAACTCCCGAAGTACTCTTACGTGGAATCCGTCAGGGCCTGATGCCTTTGTAATGTCCAGTGCCCTGAGGAGCTCCTTGATTTCAAGGGGCATGACTCTAATCTGTGCCCGTAAATCCCTGGCCTCATCTGATCCCCCATGTGGATCTCCCCCATCCTGCTTTGGGAACAACACAGAGGCAAAATAGTCATTCAGCATCTGTGCCTATTCCCTTACATCAGTCACTGGACCCCCTTCCTCCTTATTAAGCAGTCCCACTTCCTGTCTCCCCTTCCTCTTGCTATTTCCATGTTGATAGAAGCCCATTTTGTTGTGCCTGATAGTCTTTGCAAGTCTCAGCTCCTGCTATTATTGTAGCAAGTATTCCAAAACCATGGAATCATAGAATAGTAGAACTGGGAGGGGTCATGGAGGCCATCAGATCCAACCCCCTGCTCTTGCAGGATACCAAGTCACACCGTCACACTCAGATGGCTGTCCAGCCTCTCTTTGATATCTCTAGTGTGGGAGAGCCTCTAGTGTGGGAGAGCCTCTAGGCAGCTGGTCCCACTATCAAATTGCTCTGACCATGAGGAAGCTTTTCCTGATGTCCAGCCTGAATCTGGGTTGTCACAACTTGACTTGCTTATTCCATGTCCTACACTCTGGCATCAGCGAGAAGAGATCTTGAGCTTCCTCACTGTGACAGCCTTTGAGGTACTTATAGAGTGATAGCATGTCCCCGCTCAGTTTTTTCAAAAGGCTGAACATGCCCAGTTCTCAACCATACTTTCATTAGTATGTAGGTTTGAAAGTGAAAGCTTTGACTCATTAAGAACATTTATATTAGGCTATAAAGTTTGGTGTGCAAATCAGGAGTGTTGATACTCATCTTTTTCTCATTTTTTCTAACATATTTTGTGAAAAAAATAAAATTTCAAAATTAATTGTTGTATTAGTATAATTATAGCAGTATATAGAAAATTCTAGAAGGGTACAAATATATAAATTAGGGAGGTTCATACTCCTCAAAGGCAGTCTCTATCATAATCCCATCAAATTTGCTACAATTCTAATGAAAAGTGCTGGGAGACTCATTGGGCACAAACAAGGAATGCTTGTCCCCAGTTCACATCGCAATCAGATAAAATCTGTAAGTACTTAAGGGGCTACAGATAATTAATAATTATGGATGACAGACAGTTCTGAGATGTGTGTGCGCGTCCACATGCACATGCAATAATCAGGTGGTAGAATCCCGATTTAGTATGGGAGCTACTTAAAAGGTTTATTTTTGTAAACGCTTCACAGGGATTTTTAAAAACCTAGAAATCAAGGAGGAATATTTTAGCTCAGGATTCTTTCAGTCTTACACAAGATGGTGTCTACCCCACCCTCAGTTGGAAGTGATTAAAGCCCAGAGCCTCCAGCATCTCATTCTGCTGTATGTAAAATTCAAGGTTTGTTCTCCTCAAATCACAAGATGTTTCCTTTCCCCCACTCCATCAGGTCACCCATTACCTCGCACTTGCTTCGCAGGCCTGTCTCCTGAAGCCGTGACCAAATGCTCTGGATTCTCCCTGCATGTTCAGGATGACTGTTTGTGTTTCCACATGTACATTGGTGTTTCAGCATCAAGGTGTCATACACAAGGCCTGCATTTGAGGATACAAAATGCTCAGATTCTAATCCTGTGCACGTCATCTCAGAATAAGCACCTGAAGCTTCTGAACAGAGTGAGACTTACTTCTCAATAGAGACTGAAGCACAGCACATTCTTGTACATGTATGTGAAGAAAGTATTATTTTAAGTAGGACATTCTGAATTCAGTTTCATGAAATGTAAAACATGAAAGACAAAACTTTACAAAAAATGAAGACTCAAAATTGGACTGCTAAAAGAGGTTTGGACAGCTTCTAAAAGTTTTGCAGCCAATTAAATATCATTTTCTCCATGTCAGAATACATTCAGTTATTTAAAGATGCAACTTTTCATGGCAACAGAAAGTAAATCACAACATTCCAATGCTAAAATTAATAGAAAGAACAGGGGAGTGGCCATCAAAGATTCCTACAGCACAGGTCAGGTGTAATGGCTTAGCATTTTTAGTATGCACAGCCCCCTTCTCTTGCTTCTTTGCATGCAATGGAAAGAGGGCAAAACATTTCACTCTGAGGTTCTGACAGCAGCACCATTACTACTGGGATCGTCATCTAAGGAGGAGCATTGCTTCAAGAAGCTACCGAGACCTCACTCATTCAACTGAAGCAAACAGTTGAAAAGAACCCTTCACTGTTTTTGTTTCATGTTGCTGTAAAGCTAAGTCTGAACTTTTAAAACTGCATTATCAACTGGGTAGTATCGTAGCAGCAGACTAGACTTTGCAGAGGGGAGTCCCTTTCCACAGAACAAAAATTAGGCACTCATCTCCCATGAGGCAGAAAAGGAGTGTGTGTATGGTAGGAGGGGGGGCTGTGCTGGCAAGAAGGTATGCAGCCAACCACTTTACTCTCAGTATCGTTGTTGTTATATTGTATTTACATCTTGCTTTTTTTTCTTCTTGTGAGGAACCCAAGGCAGCTTACACTGTACTTTTCCACTGCTTTTTATCCTCACAACAACAATCCTGTGAGATGGGTTACACGCAGAGTGAGTGACTGGCCCAAGGTCACTCTGCGAGCTTCATGGATAAACGGGACTAAAATCCAAATCTCCCAGGTCCCCAACTCAGCACTCTAACCACACCACACCAACACCACACTCCACAAAGTTACTAGAAATATTTGTTGTTATTTGCTACCTTCTCCTATGAATGAAAGCCATCCAAAGTTCCCTGTCCATGACAGGTCTTCCAAGTCCAAGGCTGTGGATTCCCATTTGATCTCTCCTTTTGTCTTCTGCCTTTGACTTTTCCTAACACGATTGTCTTCTCCAGGAAGTCTTGCCTTCTCATGATTTACAGTATCACACATCTCATATCCAAAGTATTTCACTTTTTTTTCCCTCCTGGCTTGATTTGATCTAGGACCCACTCGTTTGTCTTTCTGCTGGTTCAGGGTATTCACAAAGCTCTCCTCCAGAACCATATTTGGAACACATCAATTTTTTTCCTGTTACCTTTCATCATTGTCCACCTTTCATACCCATGCATAGTGACTGGGAACACAATAGTTTGGATGATCTTGGCCTTGGTCTCAAGTAAACTGTCCTTACAATTGATGATCTTGTCTAGTTCTTTTAGTGCCGCCATTTTAAGTCTCAGTCTTCTCTGAATTTCTTGACTGCACTTTGAATAGATGACTGAGATGAGGTATGTCAAAACTTTCATGATTTTGATTTTTTCATTATTAACAGTAAAGTTCTGTTATTTTCCCATGGGCATGATTTTTATTTATTTTATTTTATTTCATTTTATTTTATTTTATTTTTTTTTATATATATATATATATTCATTCATTCATTCATTCATTCATTCATTCATTCAGTTGCAGTCCTGCTTTTGATATCATCTGTATATCTTAAATTAGTGATGCTTCTTGCACTGATTTTCACTCCTTCCTCTGAATCTAATCCTGTTTTCCTTATGATATCTTCTGTATACAGATTGAACACGTTAGGGAGACAAAATACATCCTTGTCTGACACTTTTGCCTATGGGAAACCATTCAGTTTCCCCACACTGGCCTGTGATACACATTATGCATGAGGACAGTCAAGCTACTTGATCTCAAGTGGCCCTTCCTTTTCGAAATCCAGCATGCACATCTGGCATTTCTCCCTCCATATATGGTAGTATATTTAATGGGATGGTCCTATTGTTGCTAAATCTTTTTGCATCTCCTTTCTTGGGAACTGGAGTGTGTGTGTGTGTTGGGGGAGAAGTGTTTTGTTTTCCATATTTGTTGACATATTTTGTTAGGATGTGGACCAATTCATTTTCTGCAGCTTGGAATAAGTGCTATTGATACCCAATTGACTCCAGGTGCTTTATTCTTTGCAAGTGCTTTTAGAGCAGTTTTCACTTTGCTTTGTAATATTGCAGCCTCTTCATAAGACTCCACTTCAAAGACATCTGCCATCTTTAAATCCCTTCTGTATAATTCTTCTGTATAATTCCTCTGTCACTTTATTTTCTCCTGGTCGGGTAATATGTTTCCTTGTGTGTGTTTTTTTAACCATTCCTAATCTAGGTTTGAATTTCCCTTTGATTTCTTGGACCTTCTGGAAGGCATCCCCTGTTTTCTTCCTTTTGTTACTCTCTTCTGTCTCTTTACAATCATAGTTGTGATAGCACACTGGTTGCTGAAAAGTTGCATTCAAGATTCTGACCCGATCTGTCACCTTTTGCTTTTGCTTCTTGCCTGTCCTTAGCAACTGTGACTGTTTCTTCTGATATTCATCTAGGTTCTTTCTTTCGTGTTGCTAGAGGAACTGTCTTTTGTCATTCTCCTCTAATAATATCACTGGTTTCAGTCAACAGTTCTTCTGGCCCATGGTCAATTGAGTGGTAACAATCTGTTCTTCGGGGGGACTTCAAATTCTGTAGCATTGTTACTTAAGTTACATTTAGCACTAAGTTCCTGTTGGTGATCTTTTTTAACTTGACTCTGATTTTTGAAACTAAGAGCTGATGGTCACTGCTGCAGTCTGCTAGTAGTCTTGTTCTGGCAGCAAAAATACAGTTTCTCCACCTTTTAATTCTAGCTACATAATCCATTTGACTTCTTTATTGACCATCTATAGGATCGTCCGAATTATAGCAAAATTAAAATAAATTGCACAGCCCTGGTTTCCTTTTCCATTATGAGTAAATATTTCTTGAAAGAAGACTAACTACTGATAAACAGCACTTTAGCGCCTTGTAACAGTCCACCTTTACACAGGTTGCTTATGTTCAATTGTACTTCAAGTGGTCATCTGTGCATTCACATATATTTAGGAAATTTCTATAGTTAAAGAATTTTTGATAGGGAACACTCTCTCTGAGTGCTTACATCCCTAAATTTCAGCCTTAGAAGTATGTGGAACTTAAAAACATAGAAACAGAGTGAGTCAGAAAGGGCCTCCCAGGCCATCTAGTCTGACCCCTGGCTCTAGCTGGCTCTGCTCACAACATGCAGCAATTATCAATATTGACATGGAAGTGGGGATGGTAGATGATGTGTGAATGCACAGATGAGTCAAAGAATCACAGTTAGAGGCAAGCAACTGTCTTTTTTAATCTGATCCCTGTGCATCAACACATATGGACTAGCAGCAACCTGACTGACCAGTGGTGGGTCAACCTCCAACTATGAGACAGCAAACAGAATTGCACAAGCAAAGGATATGCAGGTTACATACTGTAACTGTAGTTCTTTAAGTGGTCATCTGTGCACTCACACATATGGGTGCTGTGCCTGCACAGTGCTTCTGTTTGGGAAGATTTCTCTAGCTAAACCTAGAACTTTCCAAAGAGCCCACTTCCCCTCCCTCCCCATATAAAAGCCAGGCTCCTGCCATTTTGTCAGTTCTACTTGAGACCGACATTTGTGATGAATGGATTTGGTCTATTAGCTTCCTAATTGTTAAAGTCAAAGGGCAACAGTCTACTCTATGTGCAATCACTGACAGTGATGTGGGCCGGTGGGTGGGTTGTGTGAATGCACAGATGACCACTCGAAGAACTACAGTTACAGGTATGTGACCTGCATTTCTTCATTGTGGTCTCTGTGCATCACACATATGGGTGATTGATAAGCATTCCTCTGGTGGTGGGAGGAGTCATTTAGGAAGATAGTCACCATATATGTCATCCTGTTGTATTAGTATCACTCTATCAGTATCAACATCATTATTTATCATACACATTATTAATGTCAGTATAAACACAGATTTTCACACACACACACACACACACCTGGAACTCTATAAATATTGTCTATCAACTGTCCTCATTAGTTGGGTTCATAAACCTTTATATACAATAGGAGAAGAGTTTATGGATGTTTCTGCTATTGCAGTATGGAGTACAGCACCGCCCTCCTGTAGGAGCAGTCTTTCCTCGCCCTAATGTTCAGTTTGTAACATCTAATAAATGTTGACGATGTTGAGCATGTTGCTGCTTTGCACAGTTCCTCAATCGGGAGTCCTGCATGGAGGGCAGTAAAAGTGGATATAGCCCTTGTGGAATGTGCTCACGGATTGTCTGGCAGGCCTAAAGAGGAAAGTTCATATGCCAACTTAATGGTTCCAATGATCCAATGGGCCAATCATTGTGATCTGACAGAGTCACCTTTTGAATAGTCCCTTTTTTTCACAGACAGATGTTTCATTTTGAGAATGCTCTTTATTCAGGACCAATAGAATGACAGTGCTTGGCTGATGTCGAGGATTTGCAGAGCCCTTTCAACGTCCATTGAGGGGGAAGGGAAGAAGGCTGGCAGGGCTATCCTTAATGTGATAGGATGAAGAGACCTTAGGTAGAAACAATGGATCAGTTTGCTACAAAACTTTGACCCTATGAAATGTTAGATAAGGAGGGTCCACCCATAGTGTGCAGAATTCACTCACTCTCCACCCCGAAGTGGAAGGAGACCTTCCAAGATAGCAGTCAGAGATCAGAAGTAGCTAGAGGTTTTACGAATGAGACCAGAGACTAGTTGGAATTTTCGA